TTATAATTTATGCTTTTTTAGTCTGGTTCAGAGAACTGTCCAGTCTAGGGCTAATTAATCCCCACTGAGGTAAAACTCTTCTAAGTACTCAACCCGGTTCTCCATGCGTTACAAACGACAGGCTTCCCAGTACATATTCTTGGCCCTGCGTGAGAGCTGGGCACTGTTCCCTTTAATCCCAGTGGGTGATTCCTCTCCCAGCCTCTGGTGGCTTCCCTGTGGGAAGGAGCTCATCAGGAATCTGCCGAGTACTCAGGGACCTTTCTGTACATCTCTGTGGCTCAACCTCCAAGCTGCTCTCTCTTCCTCAGTACACTGTCCTGTGAACGTTTTGCCTCTTTGGTCTCTCTGGACTCCCAGCTCCATCAACTCAACTCAGAAAGTCCTTGGGGCTCTACCTGGGTTACCCTTCCTTGCCTCATGGCTGGAAAACTCTCTCAAGGCAATAAGCTCAGACAATTTATTGTTCTCCTCATTTGCTTCCCATCTCTTTAGGATTACTGTTCTTCACATTCTGGTGCCCAGTATCCTTTAATTTTTTTCAGTTGTATCAGGCAGGAGAGTAAATCTGGCCCCTATTACTCCATCATGGACTCCAAATAGCATTTTTAATGTCTGTGTGTACATTCATATTGGGACGCAGATATTATTATTACTACGACAAGTGTGGTAGTCTTTAACTTCCTGCGCTTTCAAATTATCCTTTTTTCCCCCCAGAGTATCTATTTTTTGACATACATATTTGTCAAACCTTAATAGGCTATAACTTCCTCCATTGTTGCTTTTGTAAACTGTTGATGGTGTAAAGGTGTTCCAATAGAATATTATAGTAATATGTGCTTAAAAGTTCTTTTCCAGAAATTCAGCATGTACCATAAATTAACAATGTTAATTTAGCAAAAAGGAAAAAGCAAAAAGGAGCATAGTCCCAGCAATCTGATAGACATGGGCCTTTTTTTGCAACAAAGATTCCATTCAGGTTCATTCATTTCTGGATGCTAACCCCAAAGACTGGACAAAGCAGTCAGGGTTCTAGACTGTTTTCAGTCCCCCTACGGACAATCTCTACCTGGGAGAAACTGAAATCCCAACAGAGGGCTTTGCACAGGGACCTGCAGACCCGGGTCACTTCGGCAGCTGGGGCTCCACTGCCATCAGCTCTGTGCCCCAGAGGGGCCTCCATGGGCGGCTGGTTGTCAAGCAGCCCACAGAGCCCGCCAGGGAGCAGGGAAAGCGGGCCAGCCCACCAGCCAGCCTCTGTTTTGCTCCCTTGGCAGGAGGCGCAGAGGGCAGACCTGCTCAGAGCCAGCTGGCCGCCTCCCACAGGCGAGCCCCGCAAGGCAGGCCACAGTTCCTCGTTCCCATTCTCTGTGGCTGCACGCTCCCCGGTGCAGCTTCTGGTGGAAGCAAACGCAGCTGGCACAAACAAACAGCCCCCTCGACCCTGTTCTTGACACGCTGCTGCCAAAATTCAGTTCGAGGGAATAAAAGGCAAACATAAACCTTGGCTCCTGCTGGGGGAAGTTGTTTAAGCTAAAAGAAACTGGAGGGAATGCGCAGCTCAACTGCTCTAATTTATTCACACATTTCTGCTGTCAAACTGCAGGAAAGTTCCCCCCTGGAAAATAGGAAAAGCTCTTCAAGACATCTGTCAACTCATTTCTGAAAAGTCTGCTTCTACCACTGGGGATTCTAAAAAAAGGGGGTGGGGTTGCCAGGAGCACTGGCTTGGCAACACCTTTTGCTGTAACTTGGATGCTGGCTGGGTGGGTGGGCTGGTAACAGAAGGGCCTGTGGTGTGCTTGGGCCCAATTCCCACCCACGTGGAGCAGGGGTTCCTTGCCTTATCGGGGTCCTGGACCCCTCTGCCAGGCTGGTAAAATATACAGATGCTTCTGAGAGCAATGCTTATAATTCATAAAATAAAATGGACAAGATTGTAAAAGGAAACCAATTAGACTGAAATATAGCTACTGAAATAATAAAAAATTTATAATACAGTAATAAATGTGCTTCTTCAGGAACATATTAAACCATAAGATCTAGTGGTCGTTCTAAAAACTACCTTCATTTCAAAGGAGTGATGGGTGTCCATGGCATTTCGAGATACCTGCAAAGTGATGAGAAAGTACATGATTTGTTTTGGTGACTACATCACAGGTGCTTTGTCACCTACTGTCATCACTGAGGGGAATGTCAAATGTCAGTTAAAGGTTAAAATAAAAAAGCAATGTTTTTCTCCTCCAAGTTTAGAGACCCCCCTGACTTTTCTCCGGGGACCACAGAACCCCTCGATTAGAGGACCTTTCCTTTTCTTGGCTACAAATCTAACAGAGGAGAGAGCGCTGCCCTGGGAGACAAAGGGGCCGGATCCCGCCCTGGCTCTGCTTCCAAGCAGCTGAAAGCCTCGTCCTGGTCATTGGAAAGCTGAAGAGTGTGTGCTCACTTGCCCGGAGGCCTTTTCCCAGGCAGTTCTCTACCCACAAAGGCTGGTGGGGGGTGTCCTGAGGTCCCAAACACCCCCTGCCTATCACTATCACTGGCCTTCTCAACTGTGGGGTACTGGCTTCCTTATGCTTCTGTCCCACCCGTTGCACGGAGCAGGAATAACGGCTCATTGAACACTGTGTCCTGGGTGTCAAGCACAGGGCTTGGCACATGGAGGACCGTTACTTATACACAGGGTGGGGCCAAAGTAGGTATAGAGTTGTGAGTACATGAGACACAGAATTTATTCTTGTATTATTATTTATTAATTATTGTATGATTTTCCACACGAATAACTGTAAGGCCACTTTTGCCCCACCTGGTATTTGCTGAATGAACGGACAAATGGATGGAGGAAAGCGCTGTGGCCCCACGCAGCTTCTCTCTCTCATTGTAAACATATTCGTATTCCATACCAGCAGTTCTCAACCCTAGTCACATGTGAGAATTGCTTTTAAAAATTTTAGAAAATACCAAGAGCAGGCTGCACCCCCAGAGATTGAGAGTCAGTGGCTTGGGGTGGTGTCCTGGCCTTTGTATGTTTCCAAAGGCACCCCGGGCACGGCCAAGCAGAGAGCCCGCAGTGCCACACATGGCTGAGCAGAGGGCGTGAAGGTCCCAGGTGGCCTCTCTCCCGGAGAGGTGATGTTAGTGCAGAATGCTGAACTCTGCAAGGGGCTAAACTCACAAATTGAGTTTCTGACCCTTGGAGTCAGGTCACAGTTCTGAATCCAGAAACATCCGTAATATCTGAACTACATTCTCAGACTTAGAGGAAAGAATTCTCAGGCCTGACTGTGAAACAAACTGCAAACGCCACAGGCAAACACACTGAAGTCCCCTTGTTCCCTCCTGTGCCCTCAAGAAATCCTTCCGGACAGGACCTGGTCCTGGGCAAGCAGTGCACCTTGTAGCTATGTGGTTTCCTCGCCTCCTGAGTGGAGACAGTAACAGTACTGCCAACTCAAAGCACTGTTGCAGGAACTGACGGATGTAATGAGGCTGAAAGCGTTTTGTGAACAGTCAAACACGCTCCTAAGATTAATTCTTGATTACTGCATTCTACCAATTGAGCTCTTATAGGTGGAGAGGCCTTATGGTTCAGTGATTATGAACACAGATTCTAGAGTCAGAACTTCTGCATACAAATTCTGGCGCCACCCCTTAGCAGCTGTCTCATTCTATGCAAATGATTTAACCTTCTTGTGCCTCAGTTCCCCGTCTGTAAAACAGTGATAATAAATGGTGATGGCCTCACTGAGTTTTTGGAAAGTTTGGCTGAGTTCATGCACTTAAAAGTTTCCAGAAGATAAAATTTAAGTGGGCATCAGAACCATCTGGAGGGCGGGCTTGTTAAAAAACAGAGCGGTGGGCCCGTCCCAGAGCTTCGGATTCGGCAGATCTGGACGGGGAGCTTTGGATCTGCAGGCTAACAAGCTCCTAGGTGATGCTGGTGTGCCTGGTGTGGGGGCCACACTTTGCGAACCACTGGCTCAGAACAATGCCTAGCATACAGTAAGCACCTAATAAATATTAGCTGTTATCTTCTCCTGGGCTCCACATTTTAGCCTCTTAACAGAACTTTATGTTCCAGTGCTACTCAGCACTGTCTTTGTGGAGAGCCATTCTGAAATCCCCTTGCAGTGGTTCCCAAAGTGTGAACCAAGACAAGCTGCACATGCAGCCCATGGGTGCTTATTTATAATGCCAGCTCTTCAGCCTCAACCCAGCTCCAACAGCTGGTGATGGCAGTGCACATCAGCTTAGAGAACAACAGCTCTTCCAGAAAACCACCATGACTGCCACAGCAACCTTCCTGAACGAGTCCAGGAGGCAGGGTGGCTTCAGGTCCAGGGTAAAGCTTTGGGCTGAACTGGAGTCTAATACCTGGCTCAGGTCTTTCTTCACCTTGTAGCCTTATGTGACTTATGACTTTAACCCTCAGTTTCCTCATCTGTAAAATGGGCATCATTTAGGACCCACCCACCTGAGATGATGCAAACAAAGTGCCCGCCACATGCTACTCATTCAAAGGATGTTAGCCATCACAGTTATCATTAATCATTACAATATGTCCTCTCTCAAATGATTTGAGATAGCTTATAACAGAGACATGAATACCCAGGAACGCAGGATAGCTAACAGAGAGATTAACAACAACAACAAAAAATGTCACACATAGAAAGTGGAGAGTGAGGGCTGAAATTGACACTGCAATCATCTTCTAAATTGAGGTGTGGGCTTCCCTGGGGGCCAGAGAGTTCCATGCCCCCACTGTCCAAACAGAGTAGGGTGACTGGCTCTTTAAGGCAAACATCATTCCATTGTCCCTTTGCCACACCAGCTTTACATTCTAGAAGCATCTGACCACACACACATTTGCACAAAGGCCCTGTGTAACAGGAGAGCCTCTCCTCCAGCAGCACTTCAGGTACCGGTTTCTTCAATTAATTCTCAACAAGAGCCAAGGACAAAATCCTCACATCCCAGAGGAAGAGCGATGTGACACTTACTTTGGGTGCCGAATATCAGGGAGAGAGCGGTTCAGGGAGATTTTATCACTGACGTAGATGTTAAATCCATTTTCTCGGTACGCCTGATCCACTCTCTCGGCATCGGTCATGGGGTAAGGTCTCCCTTGTTCTCCATTTCCTAGGGGCAAACAGCAAAGTCAATGGTGCTCACCAAACGGCATGGGGGAAGAAGGATGAAAAACATGATCAACCATAAAGATAAAACTTTGTGCTTGATACGGAGCGCATGTCTGGATTTTGCAGGGGGAAGAATTCAGGGGGGAGAGGGCTGAGTGTCCAGCCACAGCCGAGCCTTGCGCTTTATAAACCTCGTCCTCCTGTAATCGCCACAGCAAGTGTGCAGGGTGGACATGAGGGCCTTCAACCTGCAGAGGGATTAACGAGGACTAAGGAGGGTTACAAAACCTGGTCCGTGGGTGCCGAAGCCCATGACCCCTCCACTCTGCCAGGAGCCCTAAGCACTCCTGCCCAGGGAGACCAGGCCTACCACAAGCAAGCTGACCCGCCCTGGGCCAGTCACGCTGGCGGTCTGAATCACAGCTGGCTCCCTCTGGTGCCCAGAGAATGCTGGGAGAGTCAAATGAGAATGCTGGGTAGGTGAAGGTGTTCTGTAAACTATGAAACACTACATAAATGTGACGGAATATTATGATTATTAGGCAGAGTAAACTTTACACATAAATCAAAATGGCCACAAATGATAAAAGAAGCTTTGATTTTTTTTTTTTTTTTTAAAGCCAGTAAACAAATTAAGATCTGCTTAGCCTCAGCCAGGACTGCCTGAAAAGTGTTGCTTTGCGTCACAGATTTGATGGGATAAAGGACTATTCTTTCTTTCCTCTGCATAATCCAGCTGGGGAAAGAGTTCCTGGTGTGCCAGGAAATTACTCCCTGGGTTCCCCAGGTGCAGGTGGTGACTGGGAATGTCCACACCAAGCCCTGCAGTAACAGCCCAGGAATCTGCCACTGGCAAGGGACCCGAAAAAGGGGCAACAGAATCATTGGTCAGAAATGACCTCATCTTCTGGAGCCTGTGGTCTGAGCATCGGCCACCCTATTCAGCTTGTCAAGTAAATTTGGACAACACCAGCTTGATGGGAAGGTGCAAGCTGGGAGGCCGAGCCTGAGAACAGGACAGGTTCCACAAGAGACACCAATGCCGCAGAAGTGTCTCCTTTGGTGGCGGCAGGAGGCTGGGGCGGGGGGAGCCTCAGGAAGGCAGGACAGGGCAGCAGCGGATTCAGGCCCGGGAGCAGGGCAGAGTGGGACTCGCAGTCCGGCCCCGCCACCCCCCAGCTCAGTCGTCCTGGGCGTGCCTCTGGCCTGCCTGTGTCTTGGTTTTTGCTTTTGTATTAATTGGGATAAGAAGATTCAGTGTGATGATTAAGGAGGTTATGCAGGGCAAGGTGCCTGGTACACAGTCAGCACTGATCATTATGCGGAATGATTTCTCCTCTGCTTACTCTTTTCTTGCTAGTTAGGCCAGTGTTCTAATAATCCTGGCATAATTGTCTGGCAAATCAGCTCTTTTCAAATGTTTCCTTTTTTAATTTAAGCACCCCCCACCCTTCATTTTAAATTACTGGCATATGGAAAAAATGCATGTCATGTCTCCAGATTTCCCTGAACCTCAGTTAAGTTATCATTTCGGCTCAATTCAAAGACTTGTTGTAATCTCATTTTGTCATAATGTAATTTAAAAAAATCAATAGTGGGTGCCTTTACTGAGATAAAAATGAATAAAATACTAATCCCTTATATCTGCAGTGCTTTCCAGTGTAAAGCTACTTCATACCTGCAGCCTGAGGCTGTCAAAGCAGGAAGCATGAGTCCCACTGACAGAAAGGGAAACTGAGGCTCGAGGATTATGGGATTTCTGCGATGGTCACAGAGCGGATGAGAAGTGTCAGGGCTGCTCTCCTGCCTCCTAGCCGGGGCTCTCTGCAAGTGACTCCCCACACAATTTCCCTTTCCAACTCCCCAGTGTAACAGAAGCTGCTCCACAGACTAATTAGCCAGAGAAAACGTTAGCTGGAGCCCGCAGAGTTCACTCGACCTCACGACTGTAATGCTGGGTAGGGATCCACTCTGCCCACCAGACCTCGGTTCAAATTCCAAGCCTTTCTCTTTCTCATCATGTGACTGTGGGCCGATTACCCTACGCCTCTCAATTACAGGGCCCTTCTCATCAAATGGGCCATAAAGATTGATTCGGGGGTTCGCCGAGAAAATATGCACTGTGCAGCGTGACCCTTGTTCACGGTAGGTATTCATAAACGTGGGCTCTTATTATTACTGCTGCTCATTTTAGAAGTAAAATATCTCCCAAGAGGGAGACATTTGCTATTGTCCATTAAAGGGGGCAGAGCAAATTCCTGAACACAGCGGCGATGTGAGTGCAGAAAGGGTCGGCTCACAGGTGACAGCGCGGTGCCCCGGCATCAGAAGGCACGGTGGCAGGTGGAGAGGAGTCAACAGGAAGGAGGTCCAGATGCGCCATTAAACGCACACGTGCACACACACGTGCGAGTCCTCCCCACAGGACCTGCCCATGGACGTACCTACACGCTGAGCATCCCTTCTGATGGCTTCTTTGTCATGCCAGTCCTTCAGCTTCTGCCCATCGCCCAAGAAAAATATCCTCTTTTGTTGATTGTGTGATCCCTTTAAAAAAAAAAGAAAGACAAAAACTGTAAAAAAGAAAAGGGAAAATAAGTTTAATAACAGAGACGCAGAAGTTACACTGCTTAGGGGAGCTTTTGGTATTGACCGAATGTCCGTCACATGTTCATTTATTCGTTCCCTCGACAGAACTCTGTTAGAGCCTGCCATATGCCACCCAGGTGTGCAAAGGTCAGGAAGATGACAGGCACACACTGTCCACCCTCTTGGAACTCAAAGGGCAGCAGGAGGAAAAAAACAAAACAAATGGACATTCTTTTCACTCAAGAGGCAAAGCGGTTAGTGTGGCACTGTCCAACAGAAATACAACGAGGTGAGCCACAAACACAGCCCACATTCGTAACTTTAACTTTTCTAGTATTCACACTGGAAGAAAAGGAAACAGGTCAAGCTAGTTTTGCTATTAGCTTTTATTTAACCCAATACACTCTACGTAGAGTATCTCACCATGCGATATAAAACCTCACTGACACACTTCACTCTTTTTTTGTACTCAGCCTTCAAAATCCAGTGTGTATTTTACACTTGTGTTCACCTAGATTCATATCCCCTTCAGGTGCTCAAAAGCCAGAGCTGGCTGGTGGCTGTGTACCAGCGGGGCAGGTAAGTGACCCTCAGAAAGCGCTACAAGGGTTCTCTTCTACCGGGGAGAACTGGAGAAAGTTCCACGGGCTGGAAGGCATCCAGGCAGAGCTTCAGATGAGCAGAAATGAGAGGCAGGCAGGGCACATGGCCTGGGCACTGGCTTCCGGGTCGGATAAAGCGGCAGAACCAGGCGTGGTCGGGGTCGTGGTCATCTCTACAGTTCCCAAGAGGGCCAGTCTCAGCAAGTGTGAACACTTGGCAATTGTGTGTGAAATGTACGAACAAGCAATTGGATGGTTGAAACCAACCTCCCACCCTCAAAAAACAAACAAACAAACAAACCAGGACCATACAGCAGTCCCAAGAGAGCTGCCCGCAGGGGCCTGGCTCTGAAGGCGTTCCTTATGTGTCTGGGGAAGGGAGCCCATTCTGGTGGGCCCGTGAGGAATCAGTTTCTCTAGTTACATGAGGCTGCATTCCAGTGCCTGGGGTTGTCTGAAGGTGCCAGATGCTCTCCTGTGCCTACTGTCAATCTGAAGACCCAGCTAGAGCTTCCCAAGGTAATACTGTTTAGGGATTTTCTGTGTTCCTGTGGGTGAGAATGGCTTTCCACACCACCTTTCCCATTAAAGGTCCCCCGGACTTGTTCTTGATCCTGCGCCATGCAGAACCCAACAGCCCTACTTCCTATGTAATTGACTGCAAAGACCCTGGATGTGCTGGAACATGAGCTAGAGAAAGAAGCCCCTAGGATGAAACCATCCACATGTCTATTTATTAAGTCTCCGGCTGATTCTCAAGTTAGCTGATTTTCCACAACAGCGCAATATCCTTACAACAGCTCTAATGATAATAACAATTCTTTGTAGTTCCTCTCCTACAGACCTCTCTGAGTTGCAAGAAGAAAATTCTGAGAGCTGGTGTGCTGGATGTCTTGGTCAGAGAGGGAAAGAAAACTGTGACAACAAAGGCCACATGCCTACAGACAGTTCTCACTGTTCACAGAAATCAGAGGCTGAGCTGGAAGTGCCTTTTGTGGATTTCAACTGTGTTGAGCTACGTTTCTACAGGAGACTCCTCAGTGCTTCCTGGGGAAGGGGGAAGCTAAGGGTGGGAGCTTGGATCCCCCTTCCATCAGACCAGCAATGCATCTGTCTGTTTGCTGTACTGGGGTTCTAGGTGCGACTTCATTTTGAAAAGGTCCTCTGCTAAAAACAAAGTGACAATCAAATCTCTAAACAAGTGAAGAAATATGTGCAAACATACTTGGAAACTGAGCTAGATCCCCTTCTCTATTTCCCAAACAGGGAAACTGAGCCTTGGGATGGGTCAGGGACCTGCCCAAATAAATATATTCGTGTCAGGACTGACTGATCATGAGCTGTTTCGGCAATCTTTCCTCCAGCCCTCCCTCGCAAAGCCTCTTCCCTTTTCTGCTACCCGCAGATCGGGGGCTTCGGTTTCTTTAAGTCACTGGTGGAACCAAAGAGGCCCTGCAAACGGAGACGGCCTCAGCGGAAGGCGCCAATCTTAGCGGAAGTGGTTTGCAAAGCGTGGTCCCCAACAGAGCAGCACCTGTGCCACCTGGGGGTACCGGTGTGACAACACGGATCCTGTGTAGGTGCTAAGGGAGTTTATAGCCAGATCAGTTTCTCTCAAAGGGTGGCTCTGGGGAGACCTGGGCCCTCATTATAGATGTAAATTCCTGGGCCCCACAACTGAACCAATTAAGTCAGAGGGTCTGGAGACAGGAGGCCAGAATGATTTGTTTTAAAACCTATTCCCTATATGATTCTGATTCACAATAAAGGTGGAAAAACACTTGTCTAAATCCAGCTGCCGCATTTTACAGATATGAAATCTGAGACTAACAGAGTAGAACAGACTTGCCCTAAAATCCCATAGCTTGTCAGCCCACAAAACCAAACCAGATCTGGCTGTTCTCTCCCTGAGCTGTGAGCTTCTTGAAGGCAGGGGCATGTCTGCTTTGGTTCCTCGCTGAGCTCTCCTAGGCCGCTACCTGACTCACCTTAGGCTCCCAATACACATCAGTGGAACAAGGGAATGAATGAATGAATGCTCATCCATGTGACAGGTGGTCTAATTTAATGACTCAGGACATTCTGCTTCCAGGGTTGGAGAAACCTAGGTTTCACTTCCTGGGCAGGTGGACCTGTTTCCTTAATGGATAAACAGGGGAAACTGACAGAATAACCTGTTACTCTGTCGCTGGGAGGATGAACTGAGCTAACCTACACAAACCATCCAGCTTAGTGTCTGGCACAAAGTTGGGCCTTCTCAGTAAAGGAGTGCTACTATTAATAAATTATTTTTAGAGAAAGCTTACTGTATGATGTTTGCAACGGCCATGTGAGGGGCAATAGGAAATGGATGGGAATCTAATAATAAAACTGTGAAACCTGCAGAGGCAACCTAGGTAACACCTGAGCCAATTCAACCAGCTACTGCTGAACACAGAATTTAGAGAGTTTCCTCATTAACAGGAGATCATATGCCCATGTGAAATCCAGTGTTCTTCAGGGGGGAAAAATGTCTTAATTAATAGTGGCATTCTACAATAGAAACAAATGCCACAAGACCTTTCACAACAAGAAGGGCTCAGACAATGCTTCTCAAAAGACAGCAACTCTTATGCAATAGCAATCATTTAATATGCAAAAATGCACATCCGGAATTTTAGCCCAGAGGTAATTTTAAGTTTCTTTAATTTCACAGACTCAAAGATTTGTCTGTAAAAGTGCCGCTTATTTTCCTCCAGCAACCATCTTTTGCTACTTCTCTTGCCCTTGGTTTGCAGTATCCTTTTGCTCCAGGAGGCACTGGGGCTGGGAAGGAGCAAGGCACGAGAGGTGACAGAGTGGGTGGAGGAGGCGGGCAGAATGAATGTGGAAATCACAGTAAATAATACATTGGAAATGGATTTTGACTGGCTCCTCTGAATAACGGCTCCTGGGATCTGCGTGCTTTTACTTAATGTTCCCCTGGAAGAATTGATTAGTGTTCAAACAGCCAAAACTCACACACACAAATGGAATTTTAATCTTTTGTATAATCACTATTTAGCACCCTTTGGAAGGAGGGAAGGAAGGTGGCAAAGCAAGTCAGCTGTATTCCGCCCAAGAAGAAAGACCTGTTAAAGTGCACGCTCGGAGGACACTTGTGGCCCTGGCCAAGCTCACTAGTGTCTCCATAATAATGGGAAAAGAGCTGTGCACCCCCAAATGGCAATGCTGAGAGGGAAACTGAGGAGGTCATCGGTTTTACTCAGGGTCTGAGGGCATCACATAGGCCAGATTCTGCGGCCAATCTCAGGATGGCTTCACCTGGGCCCTCCTCTCAGCTAGCTCTACAAAGGCGTTGGCATCACTTTGTTTTGAGATTTAAACGACCCTATATAATTCCAAAAGTTTGCTTATCTGTTAAGCAGATATTCTAATAACCTTGCTATATACGCACACACACATGTGCATGCTCACAACAAAGCATTCTTTTTAAGGTTGCCTTCAACGTTATACTTCAGAGAGGGCCAGCTAGGACTTAGCTAGCCAACGTGAAAGTTACTTTAAGCATAGAAGTTTGGGCAGTTGGATAAATGTACTTTCTTCATGAATTCGGAGGACATAAGCTTGACTGTTTTGATTTATTTATTCATTCATTCCACAAGTCAGGATAACATCATTGATGAACTGAGGACCTACTATGTCCAAAGAATTGTGGGGAGACAAAGATAAATAAGATAGCCCCTGGCCTCAACAAAGATCATGGACAGGATACAAGTATTAATATGGGAAAAGGGAAAAACACACAACACTGTAAAATAAGTGCCTTGAAAGTTGTACAGATAAATTCTACAGGTATCTACAAGAGTCAAAGATTAGGTTCTACCTGAAATGGTCAGGGAAGAATTCTTGTAGAAGCAGAGTCCTTCTGAGTTGCATGAAAGGATGGGTAGGATTTTGACTGTTAGCAACAGAAGGGTGGAACCCAGCGGCAGGGTAAGCGTGGGCAAAGAAATGAGGGTTAGAAAGTAAGGGGCGTGTTTACTGGACGTCAAGGAGCCCGACCTTGCTGGAGTGGGTGGGGCACAACGATTCCTAAGCACGGAGGGCAGGAAGTCTGGACCAGAATCCAAGGGCCTTACATGTGAGCTGTTTGGCAGGAGGTGGGAGCCACAGAAGGTGTTTGTGCAAAGAGCAGGCCGGAGTAGAATTCCAAAAATAAAATGTTACTACCTATCCATTTGCAATTAATCCCTTCTTCTTGGGAGAGATGCAGGGGGAAAGGAGATTTGGTTTCCATTCAGAAGAAACGTTCCTTCTTTGCAGGCGGAGGACCACTCACGTTTCCACAAGTCAGATTCAAAAACGCGTTGACCT